TAAAAACATAAAACTAAACCTAAACTGTGTGTTGAGTATGAAGATGTTTGCTCGGTGGTAATGCTTCTCTGCCTTTCCCCAGATTTTCTGGCTGTTGCAGGAAGGGTGTTCCTGCAATTCTGGAGGCTTTTCCCAGCTCTCATTTTTGCTTGTACTCTCCTTACGCCTTTTTTAAAGTGCATTTGACTTTGTATCCTAAGAAAACAACTAGGATCAAATGGCAGACCTTGCATTGTTCATTGGTTGTGTATCTGTATGCAACTTGCTTCCATCTGCTGCCTGACCAAGCCCAGCCTCCCCTCCAGGCAGTCCTGCTTTCCTCCTGGCATCATCCTTCCTCCCCTCTGGGGTTATGTCCAGGAGGTATCTTTCAGTAGGGCAAAAGGAATGAGTGCTCTGAAGGTTTTCTGGCTTACCTGTTACTTTCGGAGTCTGTATGAGTGTCAGGTTTATGAGGGTAAGTAGCAAGAGGCAAACAGGTTATCGTGCATGACCGAGCAGTCACAATATTCAACTTTAGATCTAGTATTCAAAGATTAAAGTCTCTTAAAAATGAAAGTGCTGTTATGGACAAGACTTTTTTTTTTTCCCCTGGATGAATTCTATGGGGGCAATGTTCTCAAAAACAATGAAAGGAATAGAGAACTTTGTATTTCAGGGGATGAAATTTGCTATGCCTTGGCAATAAAGCTCAGGCAGTCCGGAGGAGTGTGGTGGGAGTGCTCAGAGTGTGTGATTCGCCTCTGCTGATGGTTGCAGTGATGTTGCTGCAGTGAATGAGCTAAGCTGTGTATGTCATAGCTGTCTGCTTTAAGTACTGGGAGTTATGTGATGATGCCCTCTCGTACCCGTAAGGAAAGGTCTCTGCTGTACTGAAGTTAACAGTTATACCACTCCTCTATGTCTTGTGAAATGTTTTGGAAATGTTTTGGATAACACTCGGGTGCGCTGACACAGCAAGCAATCCAGGCGGCACGTTGTTGAGAAGCAAAATTGATTGGGGAGGATGGGGCCAAGAGGAATATTCTTTTGCAGTTAATTATTTACTGCAGAGAGAGAGAGAAACTGATGATGTTTGGTTTATAATTACAAATATCCAGAGGAAAATGCTTCAAGATGATCCATTTTATTCTGTGTGTTGCCACCTATTTCTTGGACTCTCTATAAAGTGAGACTAGCACTGTTTAATGACTGGTTCAGTAAAAGCAAAACTTCATTATTAACTTCTCACTGCTGGAATATGGTTTTACAGCTTGCTGTGCGTGATGCAAAATGGCCTGAATGCCTACAGAGGGAATAGTCTTTCCATGCTCGCTGTCTTAATGCATGACCTGCCCCTGGTGCCCATCTGACGGCAGCGTGGGCTCTTGGAACAGCTCATCTCTGTGCTGAAAGGTGACTTTGTGGTTGAAGTGCAGGACCGTGAATTTGGGAGTCCTGACCCTCTCTCTGGTCTTGGCTGAGCTGGTTGCCTTATCTCACTGGGCTCTCTTCTTCTTCAGGAGTGATACCAACCCAGTAGATATCCAGCCTATCTGCTAAAAGGGTAGGATGTCCTGGGCGAGGGGCACTCTGATAACACAGAGGCAGCAGCAGCCCACGTACTTGCATAACACAGTGCTGTGGGCCAAACTGTAAGTGGGTTTTTCCTTTTATATAGCTAAACCCATTACAGATCAGACTGCTTGTATGTGAGTTAAATTCAAGAGCTGGTGGAGCCGAGTTTAGATGTGCGTGTGTGGGAGCAATAACTTGACGAATACAAAAAAGAGACATTGCTGCAATGTCTCTGGGAAGACGCCCGTATGTCTTCTGCTTGTTTAGCATCCTTGAGAGAACAGCAGACGTGAGGGAGAAGCAGTGGCCTGTGAAATGAAGAGGATGTTGTCCTCTTACTGGGAGAAGGAGAGGAGTGAGATCTAAAAAGCCAGGGAGTAGGAGTGAAATGAGGAGTGCAGGTATGCACAGCGGGGTCTGCTCCAGGCTGCCCTGTTCTCACTGAGTAAGGTTCTGCAGGAAGAGAAGCGAGGAGGAGATCAGTGGAAAAAGGCATTGTGGAGGCTGCTGTTGTGCAAGGTGGAGCGTCAGCTATCCTGCTGGTCCAGGCTGAATCAGAGCATGGCTGGCCAGCAGTGGGAGTGCACGGGATCATCTCCCCTGAGAAAAGCAGACCAGTGAAAAATCTCCAAAGGAGAGTCTGGCTAGCAAGTGCTTGTGCCCCAGGCAAGTCGGGGTCTTGTGGAGAAGTGAGCTCTGTTCATCAGCGGTTTGTTGGGGTAACAAGGCTGCCGGCCGGTAGGGTTGTCGCAGGGCTAGTGGTGCG